CGGCGATCCGTAAAAATCGCTATTTTTCTATATGAATTGTTTATTAAGTGGGCGGGGTTTAGAGTTGAGGGGCGAAGCTTCTTCTTAACTTCTTCTTCGAAGTTTAATTTATTCATCCATCAAGTTAGAGGGGTGACTGCATTCAATTTCGATTTTTTCCAATTCATTTTTCCCCGGTAGGTTCACCCGCTCTTATCCATGGAATTTTAGGGTAATTCTTTCGTGTCTCTTGGGGCCAGAGTTTGCAGAGTGGGCATGTCCCTCTGAAATTTCATCGTAAATATGAAGGACTTGAGGGTCATAACTTTGGTGTTGACCGATTCAACTTTTGGGATGGCCCCGCATTCGCTTTTCATTCATATTCGCGTTTAGAATGCGTGGGTCTGCGAAAATTTGTACGGTCGCACCTAATTAAGCTCTTCGCACCTAGGCGCGAAGTGACCTCAATTAGGCACGAAGACTCCATGGTAATTACGCTGCTTGCAGATCGTTACTAACCGAGTTAAAATTTCGCAATCATTCATTCATACACATAGACACTCAGATACAGTCACAGACGGCAGCAACAGACGCTAAGACTCAGATATACACAGATCGACTGCATTTTAAAAGCACTAAATAGTGCAAAACTTCTCTCTTCTGTTTCAGTAGTTATTTTATCCTCTTTATTATCTATGTTTGACTTCGACCAATGTTTTTTATGACATAAGCAAGCTTTTTGTGCAAGTAACAGGTAGTGACCAAGGAAAAATTTTGGGTTCCGGTAAAGCTTCGAGTAGAGACCCGAGGAATATCATTAGAAATCGTACAACTGTTTACGAATGAAGAATATAAACTGCTGAATGAGTTTTTTGTTCAAAGTTCAAATTTCGTTCTATATAGTCTCAGTTGAAATAAGAAGTTTTTCGCAACAACACATCTCGTCGTGTTGCAAAGGTAGGAAGTGGTTTCATACACTGCTCTAGCCAGAATTTTTACTCAGCTTGTTTTTTAAATGAGAGCTTTATGAAAACTTGTAGTTTTCATTCGAGTAAGCCCCTTATTTCGGCTGTGATTTACGCTCGACGCACTTAATTGATGCGAAACGTTTCTACACGTGATTATATGACTCTTTTTCATGATAGGTTGTGAAGCACCGGTACCTTTATAGGAATCAGATCAAATTTCTTACTAATTCTAACCACTTTTCTCAGCGTCCTAGAACGTTTCTAAACAAGGATATGAACTTCAAATTTTGGCCCCGCATATCTTACTGCAGACCCGCCCTCATCGAAGATTTGATCTCATTTCTCCTACTAACACTTGCCACTTTTTCCCCTTTTTTTGGAACGTTTTTGATCAGAATTATGCACGTTTTTAAAAAGTAGCTTCCGTCTGAACACACGGAGCTTGCGCCCCACTGCGGGAGGAGCTCCGTCAACTTATGCGTGCAGCGCACGCATATATTCTGCTTTCTCCATTTTTTCTGGCCTGACACTTTCGTTGCATCGAGTGGTGAATTTATGTGGAAAGTGCCGCCCACTGTGAGAACGCTTCGCCCACCTGCGACGAGTCTATTTAGTTTGCTGACCCATCCCTTTGCACATTTTTGGCGGCGTCCGGGATGTTATGATACCTAATCGAGATGTTTTGCCAAAGACACCAGCCACTCCTGGCATGTCCGGCCCACTGCGGGCGAGCTCCGCTCACATGTGCTCAGTTGGTCTTGCCCTATGCCCATCCCATTCTAATTTGGCCCTACTTCTGCAGATGCATCTTCAGGTAATATCGAATTTACGTACAAACCAACGAACAAATAAACAAACAGGAAGACAGACAGGCGCGATCGCTTTATACATGGTGTATATGGTAAGGATAGATTGATCACCTACTGTTGAGAGTGCCCTTTCAAAAATGTCAGACCACTTGTACCAGTACTCCGAAAATGGGGCATTGGTCTTCTGGACAGAGAACTCTCTTCAGAGGGAGCCATGGTCAGTTGAGTCATTTGACCACCATCTGCCGGAAGTCCATGGGACCACCAGAAATTTCTTAACACAATCTTGAGTGTTGTCTCCTCCACTCGCCTCTAATCGCCTCTATTCGGTTTGTGGTGGCGAGGAAAGTTCATTTTTTGATCTTCCATTCCCGAACACTTTCGAGCCTTCAAATGTTAGGGAAGGTCGGAGATAGTTAACATGAAGGGCGAATAAAGTTCGTGAGTAACCAGAACACATTTCATGGAAATCAAAATAAGCAATGTATTCTGTGGCAGAGGTGGTGTAGGTGTAAGTGGATAGTTCTCTTAACAGCGTTTTTGATGTAATGAGTATAAAATCCCCTTTTGAGCTCATTGTTTACCTAATTTTGTCTTATGCATTGGCTGTTTCAGTGTAGCGTCTGAGTCCGGATGTTCGACAGCAATTCGTCGCCCTAAAGCCAAATGTGCTGTAGTACGTCCAATGATCGAAGTGAAGAGGGAGGCATCCGATCAAGCAACCTTCGAGATGGTTATTTGTTTCGCTTTATTGGTTTTGCTGTTAGCCTAGTTGTTAGTACTACATAAAACGTTGCTGGTGACAGCGTGAGAATCTTTTCGAGGTGAGTTCCACATTTTTGTAATCTTGTATATATGTATGTATGTATGTATGTATGTATGCATGTATGTATGTATGTATGTATGTATGTATGTATGTAATGAGATTAATGAAGTATACGGTAGCGCTCAAAAGTATTCGGCGAAACACTTTTTTTGGTCGTACCTTTTGTCTTTACTGGCGGAATAACATGATATTATACTACGTTTTCCCTAAAATAAGGGTTTCCCGAAGGGACCATAGTCTTTGGAGTTGCGGGAAAGAGTAACATAATTGAAAGCGAAATTTTCATTGTAACTGCTGCTTTCACACATTTGAGGTTGGCTTTATTTTTAAGCTTTTTGTAAACTACAAATGTTTCTCTTTTTCCACTTTGAGTTCTATTAGGCCGCTGCATCCAAGAGACATGACCAAGACAGCAGAACTCCCTCACGGAATTCGCGAAGCAGCCGTGAGCATGAAGTAATTCGGGATGAAGGTCACCGAAATAGCGAGAATCCTGGAGCTCCCTCATCAAACTGTTTCTTCATTTCATCAGCGGTATCAGGTCAGGCTGTCCCTTTGTAATGCCCAGAGAACGGGGAGACCTCGATGTACCACTGATAGGCAAGATAGAAGGATCTCACGCTGTTCGATGTTCAATCCTCGTCTCACCGCGATCGACATTGCAGCGGAATTAAATGAGAGTGATGGCATCAACATTAGTAGGCAGACTATGGGGAGGCGCCTGAGTGCTGCTGGACTGAACGGAAAGCGTCCGGCGAAAAAACCGTTCATCACAGCGGAGAATAGAAAAGCTCGAGTCGAGTTCGCGCGCCGACACCTTGCATGGACTTTGGCCGAGTGGGGCAAAGTACCTTTTGAGGATGAAAGCGAGTTCATTCTTTTGGAAGTGATGGTATAAAGTACTGCGACGTCCATCAGGTGAACGGTTCAATTCCAAGTATATTAGGCCTACTGTCAAGCATGGCGGGGGATCGGTGATGATCTACGGTGCATTTTCGCGGAATGGCATGGGCCCTATTCTGAGAGTAAACGGAGCGATGACGGGCAGAACTCACAGGGACATGATGGTGTATGATGTGCTGCCGTGGGCACAGCAGAAAATGCCTGATGGATGGATTCTGCAGCAAGATAACGATCCAAAGCACACATCGGGTGTCGTGAAAACAGCATTTAATGAACGAAATGTCAGATTTCTCGACTGGCCAAGCCATTCTCCAGGCCGGAATCCAATAGAGCACGTGCGGGAAGAGCTTGGAGGCTGTGTTCCAAGAGGCCAGCCAGAAATAGGGATGAGAAATTTGCTCAGTTGGTTATTGAATGGAATGCAATACCGTACACTTTCATACAGAGACTCACCGATTCAATGCCTTCTCGCTGTGACGCCGTAATCAAGAATCACGGTTATCCTACGAAGTATTAGACTATTCGGGTTTTTTTGTATCTTTAAATGTTAATTGAACGGTTTTTCTTGAGCTTATGTTCTGCGTCTTTTCACTGAAATTGAGTTTTTTCTCTTTAAAATACCACAAACCAAAATAGCTGGCAGCTAGGTACTGCGAAATATTGATATTATG